ACAGAAAAGAAAAGCAATTGGGGAGTGTATGTGATTACCTAATACGCTCGTCTTCCTCAATCAGTCTCGTTGAAACCTTAATTGGGCTAAGGTCTCGACTTGCGCCTTAATCTGCACGGTATCGTTATCATTTCCCTTGATGATTTTCCCTTAACGTTATCACTTTCTCTCAATATGACAAACCATTTTTTTTCTTCTTTTCATATATTCTCAATTTCGCAGATGAAAAAGACAATCCGCATTTCAATCAGGGAGGGACATACGAGTATTGATCATAAATAACTAAAATTAAGACTCTAATATCATAAATATTAGTTTTTATAAAAACTTTCAAATATAATCAAAATCACGTTTCAATAGACTTTAATACCCTCCAAATAAAAAACAATACAACCTGAAAATCCAAATCTTAGAATTTTTTTTTTGTTAAATGACAGATTTTGTTAGATTGATCATGGATTCGAACGCCGTCATGCAAACAATCATATGTATTCACCAAGAAATGAATTTCTTTTGTTTATCAATCACGACCTCATCTTCACCTCTCCAAGAAATAAAAATGTTCTTTTTTTTTCTTTCTTTTTTTGCAATAGAATTTTTTTAACATACATTTTTGATGATTTTTAACAAAAGGCAAATGTTGTGATTATCAGATGATAGATGACTACCGTCGTCTCCTCACCCTCCTTTAACTTTGCTTCCCTTGATTTGTTAGCCTTTGAAGACAAACAGAAAGTATATAATTAAAATAAGAACTTAAATTATAATTTTTGTTTTAATAAATTGAGCATTACACCATAAGGAGAGAGGATGGACACAGGGGGAGGGGTTGCGGCGGTGGGTGGTTGGGGATGAGGGGAGGAGGCAAACATGGCTGCGAAGGTGAGATTTATGATAACCCAAGTCACTTTATTCTGGTATGTTATTGGGTTTAGAGTAATTGTGTATTAATTTTTAGGGTATTTAAGTCTATTCATGTATTCTTTCGCCATAATTGATAGTTTTTATAAAAACTAACATTTATGAATTTGAGATTAAATTTTGGTTATATATGATAAATACTCGGGACATACTCTCCCTTTTTGGTTAATAATACGAATATTTCATTCTTAATATAATTAAATAATAAAAATTTTGTGTTTTATTTTTTTCTTTATATAACATGCCCAACAAATGTTTTTTTATTTCTTTAAAATACAATGTTGACTGACGAACAAGCTATTGTTGGGCAAGTTATATTCGTCAGGCCATATTTGTCAACGCACTTTACTAGACAAAAATGTGGCAGTAATTTCTCTGATAGAATTTGAAATTGAGTTAGGCATGGACCAATTCAGGTTGGCTTAAATCAAATTGCACCTCTAGTAGATAAACATACTAGTGTATTTAATCATTGACACCTTAATTTTTTACCATGATCGTTTCAACATGCATGTAAGCTATATGGCCATATGACGTGACTATGCGTACATACACTAAATAGCAAGGCAGTAGGCACCAGTAGGTAAAATGCAAGGGCTTGCAAGCCATGGCCTTTTGACTTGGGCTAGTATGGGCCTGAAGACTTAGCTTGTAAACAGTTATTGGGCCTCACATTTGACTAGGTTGATAGTGCTGATTTGTTTTTTTGGTCAATATAGTGCTGATTTGTAAGTCGAGTAGTTCGGGATTACTTATCATTTTGCCCCGGTTACGTTATCGATCATCCCTATTTCCAACAGATACTTGTATAAACAAATGCAGTAGTAGTTTCCAAAAAAAAAAAAAATGCAGTAATAGTCAAATTAGTTAGAACATGATGCTTTTGTTATACCTAAGTTCGAATTCAAGTTCAAGTAATTTAAATTAAAAAATATTATGAGGAAATCATATATTATCCATACCATATTGTAACACATTTCTAAAAATGTGATACTTGTGAGTCTGTGACGTGTTCACTAACATTCTAACCCTAACTCTGGTCAAAAATGAAAACCAGAGAGCATAAAAGAACAAATACGTATGGTGGTTATATTATGATTTCCTAAGACTTTTTATATTAACACCTTATAAAATGTTGAATACATCCCACATTAAAATTTAATGTTAAATAACTTATTTATCCTACTATGCAATGACAGTTTTGACCTTGTTAGGTTAAAAAAAATTAAAAAATTATATATACACCCCAAATCACTTTTAACGTATTATTTATCTTCTTCAACTATCAAAACTCATCCGACTCTCCATTATTGAACAAAACCCTAACCAATGAAACTACAAACATGTTGATTGAGAAAAATAATTTTTAACGAATGACAGGCAAAATCGATGTTTTAGAAGCTTTACATGCGGTAGACTTCATATTATTTATTTTTAGTGATTTTGACAACATTAACAATTATTTAATCTTGCTTTTGATGCATTATTCAAACTTCTATGTTCGTATTCATCTTTTAGGGATCACATGGATTACATGAAGAATTAAACACCTAAAACTACCACCAAATATTAAAAACAGACGACATGAGTTTTAATGGTGGAATTAAAAACAACCCACATATGCTTTAAATCCCAGGCGGCATCTTTTGTCAAACTTTTAGTCGGCATTATTTGTCCAAATTAAAAGCTTTGTAAGATTTGAGAAATGTGGAGTGTATAGAAAATATGGGGTGCATATAGAAAATGTAAGGTGTATATTAAGAATGTGGGGTGTGAGGGTATTATGGGGAATAATGTACGGTGTATTAAGATAATTTTTAATTAAAAAAGAAAATGTGGGGTGTATTAAGTATGTGGAGTTTATTCAACAATTTGTGGGGTGTTAATATAATAAGCCTTTCCCGATCCTAACCTTCCAACATATATGACTTGTACAAACAAATGTAGTAACAATAATGCACAAAAATGATTCAAATTCTTGAGACTGCTAACTCTAATTTCATCTTCAAGTTCATAATGCGAATTATTATCACCACCACCATTCTCCGGAAGAAGCTTAATTTCTTCATTACTGGCATGCTAATGCTAATTTCATTTTTGGGTTCAGAATTCCAATTATCGCCTCTGGGATTCTCCAGAAGAACCTTAATTTCCTCACTAATTTCAGATTCGACCATAGACGATTGGACTCATTGCTATTCGACATAACGCCTAGCTCAAAACTCGTCCCTCTCAATTCATACGTGCGCTTACCCATCAATCCCCCGACTTTAAGCCCTCTCTCGGAGCACTCCAAGCACGTAACAAACTCCTGATCAAACCCAAGACTAGCCAACACGCTCTCTCTCTCTCGCAATGCGCAGAAGGATCACGAGCAAATGCGGGAATCAAATACACAAACATTCTCTGATCATGGAACTACTTCGCGTTAAACAACGCCGTGACGCGTTTGTAGCCGAAAATCTGAATCTGAGGAGATCACTGTTGACAAGCTAAGTCTTCAGGCCAATACCAGCCCAAATAAGACCAACTCCAAACCTTGGCTAAAAGCCAAATTTTTAGCCCAAAATTCCTCCCCAAACACTCCCCAACCCAAGCTAAAATATTGGGCTAAAAGGGGAATGCTAAAGTTGGGCCAAATTTCCCCCCCAAATGCGTGGACTCGCCCCGTTTTGGGCCACTCTTGGCCTGCCGACTTGTGCACGCGCCCCACGCGGGCAAGTTGCAACCGGAGCCCGACAGGAAGGGGGCCCAGCGTCAGGGCCTTGTCGGCCACTCACCCGAGCCCAATGGCTCTTTTCAAAATCGAACCACCAGCATTTAAGGACCGTTGGTTGATCCAACAGTTCAGATTCAAATTTCATTTTTAAAAAAATATGTTATTTTAAAATACATTGAATCCAACGGTTGAGATTGAATATAATCAAACCTAACAGTAAAAAACAAGATCTAACGGCCCAAATTAAAATCCAACGGCTAAAATAATTAAATAAATTTATTTAACACAAAATTTACCCAAAAACTCTATAAATACCTATGTATTTGTTCAAACATCCACACAAAATTCAATTTTCTCCTACAATTCTTCCAATTTATCTTTCTATCATTTATTTCCATTTACAATTCTTCCAATTTATCTTTATGATTGATGAACGATTGGTGAAAGTTGAAAGATTTGTGTTGAACGGTTGGTGAAAGTTGAAAGTTGGGTGTTGAAAGTTGAAAGTTTGGTGTTGAACGTTGAAAGTTTGGTGTTGAACGGTTGGTGAAAGTTGAAAGTTTGGAGTTGAACGGTTGGTGAAAGTAGCTTGCTTTGTGAAAAATTTAATGATTTTTCAATATTTATCGGAATTTAAATTTTTTTTAGATTAAAATGTTCATAAAATTAAATTACAATAATCTATATGTTTATTTTTTTTAAATTGATTTAAGAAAAAAATTAACCTAAGTTTATTATTTAATAATTCCAGGCTAAAATTTTATATCAGAAAGGTTGGAGCAGAAAATATATTTCTGGGCTAAAAAATTTAGCTTTTAGCCCAAGGGTTGGAGATTGTCTAAAAAGGACATGGTTTGCAAGCCCTTGCATTTTACATACCTAGTACCTACTGGTTCCTACTGCCTTGTTGTATACTGTGTGTACGCATTGTCACGTCATATAGCCATAGGTTTACATGCATGTTGAAACGGGCATGGTAAAATATTATGGTGTCAATGATTAAATACACTAGTGTTGCTATCGACTAGAGGTGCAAATTTGGTTTTGGTAATCCGTCAATGCCCAACTTGATTTGAAATCCGATCAGGCATGTTAGAATAAAGAAAAAAATCCGTCCATACCCAATCCAACTTCAACCGGATCATTTATTGGGTTGAGTTTAGTTAGGTTGATGTCTTGCCCGTCCATGTTTACCATTTTGAGCCCGAATTCTCTCATACACATATTACATATCCCACTTATGTTATATAAGAGTCATGTATAAGTTTGGACGGTTGAAACTTTTTTTTAAACTATAGTGTAATCTACTATGATATATGGGGAGAAAAAATAAAATTCCGATATTAAAGAGTAAGGATACTGTATTGAGAAACTGTCCTAACCAACATATTATTCCTGATAAAGCTATGCATCTCTGATACAATCTGGACGAAAATAGATGACTAAGCAACAGCAAAAGTAAATTAACAATTCCAACGCGAGCAACTTCCTAAAGAAAAATGCACATCTGGCAACTTAACTAAGCTAACAACGATTTGGGGTGAACCATACAGTTCTAGTATGTAATAGGGCACCGGAATAATTGTCGGGAAAATTGAAATGTCTAATACTATTGTTTGACAAGGAAAACACACCAAAATCGCGTCCGCTTGACGGTGATGCAGAATAAGGATAGTCAAAAGCAAAATAGATGCAGTTTCTTTCAAGCTTCTCACCATGGGGATAATAACTGAGATCATTATAGTTGGTAGAGAGAACTTTGTGGCTAGCCCTGCTCAAAAACAATATCCGATCACCAAGATCAAAAACCTGTACCCATCGTGAACCTCCATTGATACTATCGCGCTCCAGTTTGAACACTCGAAATCCTTTAGTCGTGGGTGGAGGGTGGTAATTAGCACCCATGACATCAATCATAAAACTGGCGCATAGAGAAAATGTTGGAAAGCCAAAATCTACCTTACGAAAAATCATAAACAGCTCCATAGATGCATAATCTTTTGCTAGGTAAATGAAATCACGGCCATTGTAATGATGTACTATTCGTGATGTAATTCCACACCATGTCGTAACATCAATAGACGGAAGTGGGTAGGACGGAAGTGGGTAGGGATCAAGGGTAAGCAAGTTAGCAACGCTATAGCTAGGAGAGCTAGGAGGGCGCCATTGACACTGGCATCGTGGAATATGTCAAATACCTTCACAAACTGGGATGCATGGCTTGTTGTGGCATATAATTTCCCGCCCATTATGACTATATCTTGAAAAAAGTTAACCCGCAGATCATCAATGGAGGTCCATGATTTATCGGTTAGCCTACAAAAAGCTATATGACCGCCTTTGCAGAGACTTGCCACAAAAGAGGGCTCCCGGCTCCCCCTTCTTGTTGGTACTGAAGAGGCGTCTAATTTCAGAATGGTAAATCCAGGCCCATTACTGCAGTGGCATGGAAGGGTGGATTTGGACGACGGTAACATCACTCGGTCACCAGATATTGGATTGAAGAAGAAGAAGTCAATTTTAAACCTAGGGTTCTCAGGATTCAATAAGTATAATGACCTGGGCTTCATAAAACCCTCCGAACGCCGCAAAGCACTGTCCATCATGATCAGCCATCCTTCAATCGACCCAACGCAATCCATTCTATTCATTGTACAATAAAATATGGGATCTGGCGATGGTCGTAGAAATTTATGAGCTTTCCAATCACTTGGACTTAAGACGGAATGATCTCTGTTAGAAAAGGGATGAGAACATAGCATAAGCCATGGAACTTCATGCCGAGGTGACTGAACATTGCTCTTAATAATTTCTCGCCAAGATTGGCATACTGCAGCACATCGACGGTAATCTGTTACACATAGTCGTTGCAGAATCAATTGCATAATATCTTTCGGAAGTTGATTGGACCAGGGGCTACCGCTGCAGACCTGCTTGAATTTGGAGTGACAATACTTGTTTCTGTAGTTAAATCTGACCATTCTTCTTACTATGGAGTCCATCATTCTGAGCTTGCGGGCAATAGAAGCTTGAGTGAGCAACAAACGCATTCTTGATATGCGGTAATATGTCAATATAACTCGAAGAGGTCCCTTTTTGAATATTAATGGTATCATCACCAAGAACACCCATACTGCTTCAGGGTACAAACCGGGCCTGTGGAACACGCAGAAATGTATTTATATTAGTTCCTCCTTGATCACCTTTGATCTCTTCAACAATTTAATTTTTGTTTAATCTGGAATATTTGTAATTTTTGATTTATGCCCGCATGGTATGAAATGTTCCCCAGATTCTACCCAAATTGAATTTGAAATCTCACATAATCCATAGATATCAACAATAAGGGAGTGTGTAGTTGATTACCCGTTTGCATAGATGTTGTCTTCGTCCATCAGTAGGCGCCCCATATCCTGAAAATTTTGAAGCAACCCTAATTAGGCTCTTCACTTTGAGTGTTTGCACTGAAGATGATGAATGAGTATACTTTTTATACCAATAAAAAAGCAGCTGTTTTATACCAATAAAAAAGCAGCAGGATATTTCGGACTTGTAGTTCTTATCTCATTCTGTTTCCTTTGTTCGGCACTTATATATCATTTTGACTCTGACCCCTAAAAAAAAGTAATATTTTATGCTCAGTACTTTATTTATCAGGATCGGCCTCGGCGACCAAAAAAAGTTTGGGGCACCAAAATTTCAGCGGGCAGGGCAGCAGATTTGGATACATAACTAGTGACAACTCAATTGACTCTGCAAAAGGAACTAGGACTAAAAACATGATTTGGGAAAGTAAATAATCAATCAAATAGTTTTTAGCTGAAAATTAAGAGAAACTAATTCACGAAAATTAAGTGAACAATTATTTACAATTGTAATTATCAAGGTATGAGAACTCAACTCAAAATCAATCGGTAATGTGTGGACAGATTAATGATCATATACAGTACTGTCGATGCAAATTTCCGCCGTCTTCAGTCTTGACGAAAATGTACTTGCAAAACAATCAATACATTTGATCAAAGACCTAAGTCTCACGTGCCCACGAGGTTGGGGGGTTAGGTCAACGGATCTTCGATGCCTAAGTTAGTTTATCTGAGAGAGTAAAGTGTTTAGGGCTTTTTAGGGTTGCAAAAGCTCTAAAAATTTGGTAGAATATTGGGTATTTATAAGGATAGGACCGGCCTTGTGAGTCTGTGACATGTTCACTAACCTTCTAATCCTAACTCTGTTCAAAAATGAAAACCAGAGCTTGTATAAAAGAACAAATACATATGGTGGTTATATTATGATTTCCTAATCCTCACTTTCCAACAGATATGACTTGTATAAACAAATGTACCAACAAAAATGCACAAAAATGATTCAAATTCTTGAGAGTGCCAGAAAGTATATTTCTTTTATTTCTACTATCACCACAACAAGATATCATATTTATGTTCTTCAAAATATTTTTCCGTGCAAAATATATTGTAATTCGTATTTAAATACTTGTAATCAATGATTTAAAACCTAGACATACAAGATGAGACGGGCTCCACACCATATAGAACGAGGATCATGATCTTCAAAATATATTTTTCCGTGCAAAATCTATTGTAATTCATATTTGAATACTTGTAATCAACGATTTAAAACCTAAATTTAAAGATATTTGATTTTTCTTTTATCTAAATCTACACTACATATTAATATAATCATATTTGTCAACCAAAAGAGGATGAAAGACTGTTTAACAAAAGTGCTTGAAATGTGATGTCGAGCTTGAAAAGTGCTTCTGCTATGTTGAGGAAATGATGGCTCTTGATCTCCACCTGCCTTAGGTGGTTTTCAATTTCTGTCATTGGCTCTTGTTTTCTCAGGTTGAGTGCTTGCTCCACTACTACTGCAAAACAAATGTCACGGTTTCCTGCAACTTTTAGAAACTTAATGATTTTGCATTTTGTGTAAGAAGAGAAAACTTACCTGCAACAAGATGGCACTGTGGCTTGTATTTCAAGCCACTAGCGCATTGTCATACTTTTAACTTTCCCACATTGCCATGATTGGCTTGAGATACTGCCACAGTGACATTTGCCTTGCAGAGAAGTTTTTCTTTTGTAAGAAGGGAAGTTGAATTGAAAGAGTTTCTACTTACCATTAACTGTAATTGCTGCAGTTATGCACTCATCATCTCCGAAGGCAGGTGCTTGATCTTGCTTATCATACTGCATAACATACAAAAAAGCTTTAGTTAGTTACCAGCTTATTTCGAATTAGACAAAATTTTGCAACTGAAGCAATATCTTTTATTTGGAAAGTTATCAATTTTCAGATTTTGTAAAGATGGACATACACTTTCCTATGGAAGTAGAGTTTGTGATTTTTCAAGGCTTCGACTTTCAACTTCATTGGGATTATACAAAGTGGGAGCCTCCAGCTCTGCTTCTTTATGTAGGTCGCTGAATCTAATAGTTGAATGTTGCTGTCTCTAACTTTTTCTGTTGCATTGTGACTACCACGTTTTTCATGGCTTCGTCTGGTTGCCACTTCATCGATTCTTCGAGGCATTTCTCTTTTATTCACTCTTCTAGATTTGCCTTCTGCAGTGGTGGTGCTGCATGAACTGATCTCTCCTCCATAGCCGGTAGAGTGCCAAATTTTTCTTTTGCTTGTTGAGGATCCGAGGAGTTTGGTGAAGAATCTTTCTTGTGGAAATTCAAGTCAGGGGAACTTTTGCTTCTGACCAGATTTTTATTATATTTGGCATTTGGAACTCATAGATTGCACTGTTGCAGCGGCTTCTCTAGCGATTTTCTTATTTACCCTAGCTTGCTCTGCAAGTGTCTGCTTCTTTTGCAAATCTACTGCCCCTTTTGACTTACTTCTTGATATCATTTTGCTTCTTCGTTGTTTTTTTGCCACCAACTTTGGTTGTCAAATCTGCTGCTCCTTTGTCTCCCATCTGCGCTTTTCTTTCGGTGACTCAGATTTCAAAGCCATGGATTGCTGCTGGAGTTCAACATTATATGGGGACTTATGCTGCTGATTTCTTGGGAGAATGTTGTTCCCATTTTGCTTTTCCACTGGAATCCAAATTTCCTTAAACCCTGGTTTTGCTTGCATCACAGGTTTATCCTGTTTGAAGGTCTAAGTAGGTTTTTGGTGCTTATCTGATTTGATGGTTGCATTTCCTGATATCACCATGGGTTTAAATTCTTTCGGATCATGAACAACTCCCCTAAGGCTGATATTATTGGCAAGCATGTTTTTTTCTGCTTGCGAAACAAACGTCGTATTCTGCATCAAATGATCCTTAGTCTTAACCTCAGAAATGTTACTCTTTCATTTGTTGTTTGCTCTATCACGTGCCTTTCTCTTTTTGACTTGGAACTCAAGTCTTCCTCCGAGGTGTGCATCAAGTTTTCGTGTTTTGGAAGCTCATTCAGCCCCATTAGTTTTGCAATTACTTTTGGAATCTTCTCCTTTTCTGGTTTAGACTCTTTCTGCTCTGTTGATGGATTCTTGACACCTGCAGTATAGCTGGCTGATTGCCTCTGAGAAACTGATGTTGAGGAGGTTATTTTCCCTTGCTTTTCGCGGTTTAAGCTACTACCTTTTGTAGTGTAAGTTAGAGCTGCAGTCACCTTCTGCACAAACCCCGGCCTCCCAACTTCTCAATTTTTAGGCTCGTGTCTCGAACCAAGGAGAAGCTTGGCAGATCAATTTGCTTTTCCTTAGCCATTTTGACAACATTATCTTCCTCATCTTCATCCTCATCTAGTAATGTAATCCAATTTTTCCTCTGAGAGTCGACTATGTATTCAGAAGTTTCCTGCAGGTTTACAAGCATTCTCAAGGATTCTTCCAAATCCATTGCCTCTTTCACTCTCTCCTTCCCAACTTCTATTGAAAATCTAACACCATTATGTCCATTCGAGCAGGCCTCTAGGATCTGATTCAATTTATGTGCTCCTCTCGATATTTCTTCGATATGTATTGATTGTGTTCTGTTCAATTTTAGATGATAGAAGCTTTTAATTTTTTTGGATTCAATTTTAAATGGGTTGTTGCTTTCAGAGTTTTCGTTTGATGACTGATTTTCTTGATACTACTATCCAATCAAACCCCTTGGACTAATAGTCCTAATCATCCAACGGTCGCAGCTGCGGTCCTCCTTAATTAACCCTCTGTTTTTTTATGTGTGGAATGGTTAATTAGCCTTTGTTTACATTGTTTTGCTTGGGCAGGTAAAAGGTAAAAAGCAAAAATTGTGGTGTGATCACGTGAGGAGAGATTTTTTAGTGTGACCGTCACATGGAGTGGTGAAGTTTTGGTGTTGAAGTTTTGTAGGTGAAGCTTTGATGTTGAAGTTTTGTAGGTGAAGCTTTGAGGTTGAATCTTTGTTGGGTACCATGAATTGATTTTGCTTCACACTATCTTAATCAAGAGTGTGTGAAACTTTTGTAGGTGAAGCTTTTGTGTTGAAGTTTTGTAGGTGAAGCTTTATAGGTGAAGCTTTTGTGGGTGAAGCTTTTGTAGGTGAAGCTTTTGTGGTGGGTGAAGCTTTTGTAGGTGAAGTTTTTGTGGGTGAAACTTTGTAGGTGAAGCTTTTATGGATGAAGCTTTTGTGGGTGAAACTTTTGTGGGTGAAGCTTTGGAGTTGAAGCTTTGGAGTTGAAGCTTTTGTAGGTGAAGCTTTTGTGGATGAAACTTTTGTGGTTGAAGCTTTTATGGGTGAAGCTTTTGTGGGTGAAGCTTTGGAGTTGAAGCTTTGGAGTTGAAGCTTTTGTGGGTGAAACTTTGGAGTTGAAGCTTTTGTTGGGTACCATGAATTGATTTTGCTTCACACTATCTGGATCAAGATAGTGTGAAGTTTTTGAGAATTTGTAGTTGTCCTCCATTGATGAAGCTTTTGTTGGTGAAGCTTTGTTGAGTACCATGAATTGATTTTGCTTCACACTATCTTGATCAAGATAGTATGAAACTTTTGAGAATTTGTAGTTGTCCTCCATTGATGAAGCTTTGTTGAATTTCCCAATTATTTATTTTTTTTTTAATTTTTTGGGAAAATTTGAAATTTGAAAATGTGGAAGAGACAACATATACAAATTTTGCTTCCACATTGTTGAGCAAGAGATTGTGATGCAAGCCACACCTTGTAGTAGTCGAAGGTTTGGATGAACCATATAAATTGAATTTGCTTCGAACAGTCTTGATCAAGAGTGTGTGAAGCTTTCTACGAGTTGTAGTTGCCCTTCATTGATGAAGCTTTTGTTGGTACCATAAATTGGTTTTGCTTCACACTGTCTTGATCAAGAGTGTGTAAAGCTTTTGAGAATTGTGGTTGAACTCATTTGATGAAACTATTGTTGGCACCATAAATTAGTTTTGCTTCACACTGTCTTGATCATGATTGTGTGAAACTTTTGAGAATTGTGGTTGCCCTCCATTGATGAAGCTCTTGTTGGCACCATAAATTGGTTTTGCTTCACACTGTCTTGATCAAGAGTGTGTGAAGCTTTTGAGAATTGTGGTTGAACTCTTTTGATGAAGCTTTTGT